CCCCAAAACCCCAAAACCCCAAAACCCCTGCTTAAAATATTACTATTGAAAAATAGCTTAAATGTATCTTAAGTTAAATATCTCAAACTCTAAGAATTTCAATTTCAAGCAATCATAATCTCCTAATACCAACAATGAGGAAGAATGTTTCCTCATTCACAAATTTTCTAATTATGAGACATTTCTAAACTAAGGACAAGAACCTTAGAACCTTGGTAATGTAAACGATGGGAATGGCTGGTATCTGCTCATATGCTTACTGTATGTACAAAAGACCTTAAGTCCCACAGAGTTTGTACTAAAGATTGCCCCAGCCTTCCACTCCAGTTTTAGTTTTCTAAGATGATCACAAATCTTTAGATTTGAAGAAGATATTTTACTCTTCAATGAACTCAGGAGGTTGATACTTTGCACTCAGTTCAAAGTAATCCTGAAGCATTCATGCAAAGAATTCTCTGTTTTCAGTGAATTCTCCTTCACCAAAGCCTAATCCTAAGTATGTGTGGAAGTAGGCTCTTGGTCTACAAAGTTTGTCAAATGCTGTAGCGACCCTTTCAAGGACCTCTGCTGTTTTTCCAGAGTTCAGGAGCATGCAAGCACTTCTCTTCATGTTGTAGAGTGTATCAGTTACCCTATCAGGATGTTATTTTAAGAGGAGTTTAGAGAAATTAATGCTTACTTGTCACTAAATCTAGTGCAGCCTTCCCCCAGCTCAGTTTTATTAACCTCCATTGCTGTATTAGTGAAGTCGCAGAAGGTGTTGAGGTCTGACTTCTGGGAGTGTTCAATTGAGCCTATTGATGATGAAACAAGAGCTAACTGATGAGGTCTTCCTGGTGAACATCTCCAAAGCAGGCTATCGGTGAGGTCTACTTTCTTACTTATGTTTGCAGCGATTATTTGATCTTCTTGTTGACTCGTTGTTATTAGAGAATTCGAGCATCTAAATAAGTCCTCTGTGATTTCGTTCAAAGTTGGGAATTGATTGGGCACCTTAGGAATAACCTCCCAAGGAGCAAAGCTGGGAGTCAAGAAATTGATGCCTAGATGGTTGGTTACTTAAAGTCAGGATAGCATGTAAACATACATGGATAAGGAATTAAGCTTGCTTCTAATGATGAAAAATAGGACTTGCTATGTCCAAACCTGTTCATTGCTAAACATGTCAAGTTTAAAAATACATGTGATCATCGAAATATTTGAAGATAGTAAAGAATTGATGTCATCATAGGTCGGATCAGAGATTCCTAATCTGTTGAGAATATCTACTCATTGGTCGTTATCCACATTTACGCTGAATCTTGCATATTCTTGACAAAATCTAGTTGAATACATGGTGTTGAAGCATTCATTAGGAATGCTGAGCGAAGTCGGAGGGTGATAAATATTGTATTTAATAATGTTGAATTCGCTGTAAAGATCTTCTCAAATTAAATCAGAAAGGCCACTGCCTGTTCCTCCAGAAGTAGATCCAATGATAAAAATAATTGGAGAAGAGTCACAAGATTCAGCTTGCTTTCTCAATTTATCCTGTATCTCTGGAATTTGTTCTCTTCCAGAAGTGTATCTTCCTAAAGCTAAGTAGGAGTTCTTACCTTCTCCATAATTGGTGCCAGTTCCATCACTCCCTGTTGAATAATGGTCGTCTATAGCATCAACTCCAACCTCACCATTGAACCAGTGCTGAATGGCTGACTCTTGCACTAAATCAGTCCCAGTTGGGTCTAAAGTTCATTCCAAGGCGTACCAGTATCAATGAAGAGCCCTCTGGGGACATAACTCCCTGCTGAATCCTCATGGAAGTTGACAGCTTGGTTGTACTCTACCTAATAACCCCGAAGCCTACTCTCGTATTCCTGGTTGTTGTCTCTCTCCTGGATGTAGTAGTCCCACAGGTTGTGGCAGACGCTGACTCCGGCTCCGCCGATTCCGAGGGTGATGACTTCAGTCATTTTATTCGTAAATAAATTTAAGCTTTATTCTATTTTAATATCAAGCTGGGGTTTTGGGGTTTTGGGGTTTTGGGGTTTTGGGGTTTTGGGG